GAGGGGAGAGAGCCATAGAGAGACACAGAGAGCGCGGGGCGGGGGAGAGAGAAAGAGAGAAAAGAGAGAAAAAGAGGGAATGAGAGAGGAAGGGAGAGAGACAAGAAAGAAAGGAAAGAAAAAGAGAAGGAAAGAAAAAGAGAAAGGAAGCAAAAGGAAGAAAAGGGATAGACAAAGAAAGGGAGAGATGGAAGGAAGCGACAAAGAAAGAAAAAGGAAGAGGGAGGGAGCTCCGGAGGGAGGAGAAAGTGAATGAGATATATGGAAGGATAGATAAATACATGGAAGGGGGGAGGGAGGATAGAGAAAAAAAGGAGAGGAAGGAAGGACACAAACCCTGGCTTCAGAAGACTCTTTGAAGCAGCACCGTAAACTAGGGCTGGCCTGCAAGGGATCTCAGAGGTCATCCAGTCCAACCCAGCAGGAGATCCTTACAGAATCATAGAATAACTGTCAGATCCGTGTATCTATCATTTCTTCAGTGGAAGAAGAAAAGGGGGGGAGACTGATAAAGAAATCCTTTCTTGATGTAACTTTTGAATATATTTAATCTTATATCGAATTTGTATAACCCACACATGATACAATGGAGGGAGACAAGCCAGATGGCTGGAACCTATCACCTCCGAGAGGCACAGCCAGGAGATGAGAAGATCATAAAAATTCCACAGTGAGATGTGTCCTGGGAATCTCTGGAAAAGTTCATTCTAAAAAGGGGGTGGGGGAAAATTAGGTATGCCCTGGGAAACTGAAAAAGATCATTTCTACAGAAGGGGTGGGGGGAATTAATATACTGGCTTTTGTTTCACTAAATACACATTGAGATAAGGGGAGGGGTACTAAACTCCCTTATCTATCCCTGTAGCCTGAGGGACCTCAGACACTGCTTTGAACTCCTACATGAATTGCCTCATCTTAATAAAGGATTCCTTTTGATATGTTTGGTTTTCAGAAGCTCATTCTTGTTAATTGAATGGGATAAAGTTCTGTAGCCTGACAATAGCAGGGTTAGAATGTGTGTGTGTGTGTGTGTGTGTGTGTGTGTGTGTGTGTGTGTGTCAAAACTCCAAAAACAGGTCAAGTAGCTCTGGGGAGATTAGTCATAAATTAGAACATTTGCTAAGCAACTGCCCATTAAGCGAGGACCACTTATATTTGGCTTGCCAGTCACATGGCCGCAAAGCCATGCCCATCCGGTCATGTGACCACCAAGCCACACCCATCTAGTCACATGACCAAGCCATGTCCACCCAGTCACATGACCACCAAGCCACACCCACAAATTAAGCCACGCCCACAGAACCGGTAGTAACAAAATTTGAATCCCACCACTGGTCAGGAACCTGTTCGATTTCTCACTTGGTGCAAAATTAGTCTTCCAGTTGACGTCAGGTTAATTGAAGTCCCCCATTACTATTGTACTGTGTTTCCTACATATATTTGTTACTTGGTTAGCAAAGAGTAACCTTTCTTTTTTTTTTTTTTGGCTTGTTTGTAGTATACACTTGTGGCAATGTCATTCTTTTTTCCTTTTATATTGACCCATATGAATTCTATGAAGTTTTTGTCTTTGATTTTGTTCATTTTTGTAGCAATATAGTGGTCCTTTATATTGTTGGAAGTTAAAACCCACCCCTCTCCAAGGAAAACAAAATATTTTAGGATATACTAAAAAGGCAGAATATTTCCCCTAAAAATAAAAGTACAAACTCAGAGAGGCAGAAACTCACCTCCCCCACACACCTTTGTTAATGGGAGAGCCATTAAGGCCTGGGCCAGAGTATTCTACATAACAAAGCCCTCTACCCATCTCACCACTTGGCCTGGAAAGATTGCATCAGCCAGCACTCAGGTGAAGCCATGTGGTCCAGACAAAGTCTACAAAGTTAGCTAACATCTCTGCCCCTGGGAGTCTGACAGCCAATGGGATACATTTCTTACACAGGAACAGAAAACACTAAAGTGGGGCCCAACAGAGAATATAAAACTAAGTGTCTCTCAGCATCTTGCCCCCTTCTTTTCTTTGACCCAACATCTTGAAGCATGTGATCATCCTTTTCACTTTGGAGCAGAGGTGGTATTCAACCGGTTTGCACCTACTCACAGGAACCGGTAGCGGTTATTCGGCATGGGTCACCGAACCGATGGCAACCCCTGGCTGGCCACGCCCCCAACCCAGTCACCCGGTCGTTCACTTGCGATCGCTCTCCAAGCTTTCCATTCCCCACGTCCTCTTTCTTCCCAGGTAAAAGGAAGAAAGGCATGGATGCTGCAAGTATCGCTTTCCCCTGGTGAGTTAAAGTGTCTGGAGTGAGAAGGAGTGCAGTCTGACAGAGGGGGTGGGGGAATCCACTCAAGCCTTGGAGAAATTTAAAGGAGTTGCTTCCAAAATGCTTGTCTGTTAAGTGCTCAGTGTGTGTGTGTGTGTGAGAGAGAGAGAGAGAGAGAGGGAGAGAGGGAGAGAGAGAGAGAAAATAGGAAGAGAGAGAGATAAAACTCTGTGCTATTATTTTTAATTGTTCCATTATTTATCATGTGTTAATATTTTACACTGTCCCTATACCTAGAGTGATTTTTCTGCCTTTCTTTTGCCCGGGGCTACCACATATTTTTCAAGGTTTACATGCATTCAGTGTCGATAGTCCAGAGCATAAAATACACATGTGTTTAAGAAGAGTTGAAAGGGACTTTGGAGG